CTCTATTCAGCACTGGTGAGGCCACTTCTGGAGTACTGTGTTTAGTTTTGGGTCCCCTAATATAGAAAGGATTTGAACAAATTGAAGAGAGTCCAGTGGAGGGCAACAAAAATAATGAGGGGACTGGAGGACATGACTTGTGAGCAAGGACTGAGTGAACTGGTCTTATTTAGTCTAGAGAAGAGGAGACTTAGGGGACTTAATAGCAGCCTTCAACTACTGAATGGGGGTTTGAAAGAGGATGGGATGGCAGTGGTAGTAGATGACAGAACAAGGAACAATGGTCTCAAGTTGCAGCAAGGGAACTTTAAGTTAAATACTAGGAAGAATTTTCTCACTAGGAGGGTAGTAAAGCACTGGAACAGGTTACCCAGAGAGGTGGCGGAAGCTCCATCCTTGGAGGTTTTCAAGAACCAGCTAGATAAAGCTTTGGCTGAGATGATCTAGTTGGAAATGGTTCTGCTTTGAGCAGGGGCTGGACTAGATGACCTCCCAAGGTCTCTTCTAACTCTAATTTTCTATGATTCTTTGATTCTCCATATGGGCTTTGTTAGGTGTTTTGTTTTTGCCTCAGTGGTTCCCTTGATTTTCCAAGAACAACTGCTCAAAAATCTTGTGATTTTCTTGGTTGTTAATCAATTACTTGATATGTTCCAACTTAGTAAAAATGGATAACCTCTTCTTACTGAGGAAGGTAATTCAATCAAAACTGGGACTTTCTGATAACCAGTAATGAACAGTTTGTGTTAATTATTGCTTGGGATTCTCTCTTGATTTACACAACTATGAGAATGCTTTCAAGATGCTGAGCTAAAGGGTAAAAAAGAGGAATGAAATGGCTAACAGGGTGTGCTTCAAGAATGAGAAATCACTCTGTCAATAACTGCTACTGCACCCAGGTGATTGTCTGGTGAATGGATCCACACCTTGAAAAGCTGGAGAGACCAAGACCACTTCTTTTGCCTGTATTGGTGAGAAACTATGACTTTTCTGGCTAAACATACTGGACTTTGCTTTGCTTTAGGTTTATTTAACAGTGAATACTTGTAATAAATAAAGCCTTTCTGTCATTCATTGAACAAGCTATCATGTCAATCCTTTATACACTAGTCTTGATCTCATTCATCACTTAACACATCTTCTGTTTACCTTTTTAGTTCAAAATAACTATAACTCTTGAAAACATTCAAAGATTATATTTATGCCACACTCAAAAAAGGAAGAAAAATGTATGTGTTTTATCACCAATATCACTGAAGGGAGCCTGGCCCAGCCCGAGCCCATCCCCATCCCCATCCCCATCCCCATCCCCTGGAAGCAGTGCCAGGCTCTCAAAAGATGAGGCCATGCAAGCCAAGTGCCAAGTCTGCCCCTGTCTGTTGTGAGTGGCACTGCTGAGCACTGAGTCCAGCATTGCTCGCAGGGCATGGGGCCAAGCTCAGCAATCAGGTGGTGTGGCCCCTTCCTCTGTGCTCAATGCCTGTGCAGCCCAGGCAGCGCCACTCACAGGGGATGGGACTGCACCAGCGAAGTGCCAAGCCCAGCCCCTTGCCCGATATTTTGATGTGGCATGGTGTATAAGTCAAACTGGATTTTTAAGCCCCAAAAACTGGGCTTCAAAACCTGACATATATACTGTGAAATATGGTGTGTGCCTTTTGGTAATGCATATACAGGTAGTTGCATAATAGCTTAAAATAGTCAGACTCTTTTATATTGTGTGTGGCAAGGGTGTAGGGTGTGGTTTGGAGGTGGGTGGGGTATGCGTAGGGGGAATTTGTGGGGTGGGGTTTGTGCAGGTGTGGGAGGGTGTGGGGTTTGTAAGGGGGTGGGTTTGGGAGTGAGTGGAGTTTATGAGGGTGTGTGTGGGTGCGTTTAGGGTTTGTGAGTGGGTGTAGGCTCCCTACCACATGCACCTCCCTTACGCACAGCCCCTGTCACTGGCAGCAGCAGCAGGAGCAGCAGGTAGTGGGCCCTCGGGGTGCTCATGACTGCAGCAGGCAGAGCCCCCTGGTGATGTGCAGCTCTGGCTGAGTCCTGAGGTGGCACATGGTTCATGGCAGCATGAACAGGCCCAGCCTGCTGGCACATGCCTTCACACCAGACCGAGCTGGTTCCGTGCAGGCATCTGGGCTTATGGCACTGTAGACAGAAGCTGCATGCCTTTGGGCTGAGCCAGGCTGGGCTGGCTCTGTGCCTCCATGTGTGGTTCCTCATGGCTCCTGGTCCAGGCACCATTGGGCCAGGTGGGCTCCATACCTCCACATGTGGATCTGTGATCCCACTGGAGTGCTGGAAGCTCCACATGGAGGCATGGAGCTGGCCCAGCTTTGCCTGATGGCACACAGCTCCCACCTGCAGTGCCATGAACCCGGCATGCTGGCAAATAGCCAGCCCAGCCTGACCTGAAGGGGCATGCTCATGGGCCAGGTCAGCTCTGTGCCACCACGTGCAGCCCCCAGGACTCAGCTGAAGTGTTCCCACCACGGGGGATGCCTTGTTGGACTTGGTGTTGGCCACGGGTGACGACCTGGTGAGGGGGCTGCGGGTGCTTGACCCCCTGGGCGACAGTGACCACTGCCTGCTAGAATTCACCATTCAGCGCAAGGTAGCAAAGGCAAGCAGTCAGGTGGTGGCCCTAGATTTTAGGAGGGCGAACTTCAACGAGCTAAGGAGGATAGTTGGAGAAGCGCTGAAGACTCAGAGGGGAGGGGAGCTGGGTGTCCAAGGGGAGTGGTCGCTCCTTAAGGAGACGATCCTCCAAGCCCAGAGGAAGGTAATCCCCAGGAGGGTCAAAGGGGGCAGGAGAGCATATAAGCCTCCATGGCTCACTAAAAACATC